GGATTTTGCAGGTTCTCCCCACTTTTCTCACCCTGTACCCCAAACTCAGATGTAGTCAACTGTTAAGGACTGGAAATAATAGAGATGCTAAGGATCAAGTGTAAAGAAAGTTAATAACTTAAAAATTACTGTAGGAAATTCTTAAAAGTTTTGGTAGGACAGGACATCACCAAGGGACATGATCTTTATCATCTTGTATTAATGTCTTGCCACAGCTCTTCAGAAGGCAGCATAATTGACACTCTCAGTTATGGGATGGTAGCTTGGGTGTCACTTGGGCTTATTTAGTACTTATTCCCATGTCAGTACAGATTTCAGAATTGGAGCCTCTGTGAGTCTGGAAAGAATAATTTTGATTTCAGGTCTTCACAACTTTTATAGATTTCTAAAACAGGAATGACCTTAGAGCACTTTTTTCTAACTTCCTTTTCACAAAGTGAAACTCGAGGCCCAGGAAAGCGTGAACTGATGCTGACCCTGGTATAGGGTGGATAAGCAGAGGAGTTGGACCACCAAACCAGTATTATGTCAAACCAGTACAGTGTTGAGGATGATTTATGACATAAAATTATGTCGTTCTGATGTTACTCCCTTCTTCCAAGGCAACAGGTTTTCTCTCTTGAGCAGGAGAGTCAGTTATGTGCGGCTGTGTGGCACAATTTGGGTACAATATGGAACAGGTGCTTGGGCTGTTCTTGGGTGGTTGGTGAAGACAGAGTTTCCTAGGCTTTAGTTATTTATGTACTACCTCCCTCAAGATTTCTACCCTATCCGCTCACACTTATGTAGTCTAATGTTTTCTTTAAACTAACTTTAAGAAAGTTTTTGTTTCCTAGGCTAGTAATACACGTGAAGTTGTGGATTTATTGCAATGTATATGTGTATATTAAATTTTTATTTAACTGATGTATAACTTATTTTTCTATTTGATATACATTGCCACATATATATGATTCTATACATATGAAGAATAAGACCATAATATTAACACTTAAAAAGTTCATCTGTGAATCTTAATTATTCTTGCATTCTATTAGAGGTATGTGCCCCACATAGTGGGAAATGCAGATTAATGGAGGAAGTGTGGGTAGACCTGGATTTGGATTCTGGTTTTTGGATATTTGTGTGCCTCCGCAGTTGCATAGCTTCTCATTTGTAAATTAGTTTGATTGTGTACCTTCAGAAAAATATGCAAACCAATTTGTGAGAGAAAAGCCCTGCTCCTAGTAAAAGTTATTCTTATCCCTGTTGATGTAATTGTATGTTAACCAATGGTAATGAGTTCTGGAAATGACTCCCAGCAAATAGGGTGGAACTCTAGAATGAAGACCCCCATAGAGAAGTAGGGGAGGAAGGAAGTGGAAGCTTTAACTGCTTGATGGATTGATTATACTTTTATTTGAGAGCTTGCTGAACATCAGCATCTCAGAGGACTTTATTATAATACTTTGCCCTCTGGAAACAGATGTTCTCAAGCCTTTAAACACAAAATCAGAAACTGGCAGTCCTCCTTGATTCCTCTTCTCCATCCATCTTACGTCCTGAGTGCATCTGTTTGATCCAATTCCAAATGTATTTCCAATCCATCCTTGTGCTCCCCAGTTTCGCAATGTGGCTAGGCTTCCTTTGGACTTCAGGCTGACTTTTCTCTGCCCCAGGGCTCTTGCATATCCTCATGCTGTCTACGCTGAACACCATTTTCCTACTACTTGTCTGGCTGCAGCTCTGCACTCTACTTGTTCTTGTCTCCTTAGCCTGTGGTTAGGAAGGTAGGCACTGAAGCCAGTCTGTGTGGGTTGGAATCTAGGCTCTCCTGTTTACATATTCCTTATTCCCCCATGCCTCGGTTTCCTTCTTATAGAGTGGGACTATAGGTACTACTTACCCTATAGGGCTGTTGGAAGATTACATGGATAATGCATGTAAAGCACTTAGATAAATCTGCCATAGATTCAGCCCCAATACTTGCTGTTGTGAACTGTTGTCAGGCCTGTCTCTTCATCTTTCAGGTCTCAGTCCAACAACTCCTCAGGCCTTTCTGGTTTATCAGGGATGAGATCTGTTTTAGGCATGGCTGAAGTACCTGGCACTCTAGTGCAGTTAGTTTCTAGAATATCGAGGCAAAATATTTTTTTGGAATGTATGAAATAAAATGGGATGAGTGAATAAAAGGAAATTTGGTGACTGTGGGGGAGTGGGAAAAGTCTAGCTTAAAGCTGAAAGTATCCTTTGCATTTGCTTGGAGGCTTTGAGGCTGAAGTGAAATATAAACCAGAAGTAGTAAGGAAGAGGAGTTTATTACTATGGATTAAGAGGCTAAAAACGATGAAATAGTAAGTATATTCAGGAAGTCAACTAGTTGAAAAAATGGATTGGGCAGTAGTGAGATTTCTAGGCATCAGGAGCTGTAGAGCCCCACCAGCAGGCTCTGAGGGAAGAATGGCCTCGTGTGCAGTGCAGGGGCTGCCAAGGACAAGTACACGCATGACCGTGGAGAGTTGCTGGTGATGGTGGTATCTGTATTTGCTAACCCAAAGTTAGTGGCTTTCCAACTTCAGAGCACATTTGGATCACTGGGAGGGGCTTGCTAAAAATAAATCATTGGGTCTCAGATTCAGTGGTTGAGTGGGGCCCAGAATTTGCATTCTGGCAAAATCCCAGGTGACCTGATGCTATTGGTCCTGGGTCCCACTTGAAATCGCCTGAGCTAGGTAGAAGGCGGCTCCTATTCTGCAGGCCTAGAGAATCCTGCTTGACACAGGTGGGCTGGATTAGCCTCTCTATATGGCTGAAATTGCCGTAGTTTGGTTTAATAGCCAACCTAGCCATGATTTGGTGCACTTTCCAGAAGTTGTGCCTTTCTTAGTCCAAACTAAAGAAATGGGTCAGGAAGTCTCAGTTGCCCTCAAGTGCCTTTTCACTACTCTTGAATAAAATCCCTCTTTCTTTCCCATACCGTTCAGGGCTATCAGTCTGGCCTTGCTCACCTCTCAGTCATGGCCGCAGCCAGATAGCCTGGCTTTTAGTTCTGGCTCCCCACTTCCTGCCTGTTGACTCAGTTTCTCACCTGTAGAATGAGTTTCATATTTGTTTCCAACTTTGTGGGGTTTGCTGGGAACAGAAAATGAGTAATGTATGCAAATGCATGGAATTGTGTTTGTCACACAGTTGAAGCTCAGTGCGGTCAGCTACTGTTAAGGCCTGTTCGCTTGTTAAAGAATCTTTGGAGGCCTCGCTCTTGTACTCAAAAAAAAAAAAGAATTCATGTCCGACTGTCTCAAGACAGGGAGTAAAGAAGGGAGAACAAGGAGAGAGCTATTCCTCACCCTTCTTTCCAAACACCAGGGGCACACACTACTAACACATTTTGATTTTAACATAAAAATCCTTATGAGCAGATAATATTTTAAGTGCTTCAAAAGTGTTTCAGTTGGATATGCTTGCCTAGGTACCCCAAGGGAAGAATTTAGGTTACATTTCTCCCCTAGACTAGGGGTATTTGACTGAGTAGCAGTACAGGGTGTTCCAAAAGTACCACTAATGATGCAGTCATCAATCCATCCACACATTTCCCACCTAGCATCCATCCCATAAGCCATTTTTTTTTGAATATTCATCATGTGTCGGCTCTCATGCTGTGTATCTGAGATGTAACAATGAATAAAACTGTCCTTACTAGTGTATGTCAGTGAATTGGGGATGGAAGAGATAGATGAAACAATAATAGTGAAACTTTGATCATTGTCACAGCTGGGAGAGGAGTATGTTTCATCAGCGTTTTGATATGTTTAACGATTTTCTTAATAAAGTTATATAATAAAAACTGCTTAAGAGAGGTAGATTTGATAGATGCCTATATCACAGGCAAGTCCAGCCATGAAGTTAAACCCAGGGTATTAACGGAAGAGAGCCCCTGGGGCAAGGTGGGGAATGCCTCCAGGCGGCAGTTAACTGTTCTCTAGGAGTACTTGTTCAGATTAAGGAAGCTCCAAAGCACAAATCTGACTGGGCCTCTAGCTGGGTGCTCAGAGGTCTGCGTCAGGAGTGAGGAGCTAGCCTCTACCGCATTGCCATCGTCTTATCTACCTCCTTCCTTCCCCTTTGCTTTAAATCAGCAAAGGTAAGTAGATACTCAGATTCAACCTTTTCCGGAACACCTACTATGTACCAGGCGCTGTACAAAGGCTTCCAGTTAGATTCTGCCTGCACCATCTTACAGATGACCTCGGGAGTCGGAGAAATTCCGTAAGCAGGGGGAACGTGACACAATTAGGCAAGGGCAGGTGAGAAACCAAGTCCTTCCAACTCCAAGGACGGGGAGAGTATGTTGGAAACTTGAAATCAGACAGTGGTAGGTTTAAATCCCGACTAGCTTCGTGGCTTTGAACAAGTCACTGGACCTCCCTGAGCTGACTCAATTTCTCCAGCTATAAAAAGGGTACAGTAAAACCTTAAAGGTTGTTGTAAGGACCAGAGCTTCTGACTGTCAAGATCCTGGCGAGAAGCGAAGGCTCGGGAAATGGCAGCCATCATTCTCGGCCAAGTGCAGGCGCATTCTCCCGGTGCGCCTCCCGCGGGTCCCTCAGGACAGGCGGATCCCGCGTCCGTGGCTCCGGTCTCGCAGTGCTCCCGGCAGGTGGCCCAGCATCCCGGTGCCCACGCCCCGAAGCGAGCCCGGAGCGAGGGCGGGTTGGATGTCCAAGGTCTCCCCTGGAGGATCACCCCGCCACCCATCCCCGCGCCCGGCGCAGGTAAGGTTTCCAGCCCAGGCCACCGGGACAGCGACCTCTGGGGAGGTCGAGACGCAGGGAGCAGGCTGGAGCCAGGAGGGGCTTCCTGAGGGCGCTCCCTTCCTCGCCTAGGTTCACCCCTGGGCCAACCTCGGCGCCGGGGCCCGCGGGCTGCGCGCTCTGCGGCTGCGAAAACCCGGAGAGGCGGATCGGAGCGCGCTCACAGCGCTCGCAGCCAACTCCTCCGCGGTCCGGCCGCCGAGCTGGGCATGCTCAGTGCGGCCGCCGCGCCGCCGTCCGCCAACTCCGGAGCTCGCGCTCCCGGGCCGTGGGGGAGAGAACGCCGGCTGCGAGCCGGCGTCGCTCGCCGCCCCCAGACAGTGGCAAACTTCGCGGCGTCCCCAGAGCTCCTCCGGGCGAGGCAGATACATCACTAATAAAATCAAATTCAGTGTCCCCCATCCCAACCCCAATGATGGAGGCTGCGGCCGCCGGAGTGACCCCACCGCCGCCGGCCCTTGCCCGATAGCCAGGGACCAACAGGTAAACTGTTGGGGGTTGGGGGATGGAGGAGCTGTAGCCGGGGGAAGGGCGGCGGGCAGGAGAAGCCCGAGACGCCTGCGGGCTGGCTGCCCCCGTCGGCGATCACGGCCATCCCTTCTCACCCCGCTTCCCCAGCCCCTGGAGGGGCTGCAAAGGGTTAAGTCGGCCCCGCGCCACCGTGAGCACGGCCCCCTCCAGCCTCCGCGACTGCCAGCAGCGCGCCTCGGCGCCTGCCTGGAGCCGCCGAGGGGACCCGAGCCGCGGATGCGCCATCGGAGCCTGGCGGGCGTCTAGGAGGGACTGGCCGCTTTTCACCGCCCGCATCCCTGCGTCTCCTGTCCGCTTCAGGCCTGCCTCCCTCTGCACCGGCCCGGTCGGTGTCCAGGTGGCGGGGTCTGCAGGGCGCGTGGCGGCGGGGGAAGGGTCCCTGCCGGGGAAGAGGGGCGGGGGCGGGCCGCTCCGCAGGCTCTTCCTCCGGGAGGAGGGCCACCCTAGCCTTGGGCGAGCACTTAAGCCACCGACCTAGGCGCCAAGAAAAGTTTTTTTTCTCCTCCCTTGCCCCTCCCCCATCCCTATCCTGCCCCCAGCTGGGGTGGGTTTGGGTCCATTGGTGAAAAAAGTCACACGTTCCCATCAGCTGCTCCTCCCCCTGGGGACAGGGTGGGGGGACAGGAGGCTGGCGGCGCGGAGGACCCTGGCAGACCTCCAGCCCCTCTGCAGCCGCCGCCGGAGCGGTGCGTCCCGGGGCGCGAGCGCAGCCGTGTGCCCGCCGAAGGCTGCCCCCATCAGTGCGTGTCTGCGTGCCGGGCAGTAGCAGCAGCAGCAGCAGCAGCAGCAGCATCCAACCTGCTTTATTCCTGCCTGCAGCGCCACAGCGAGCGAGGAGGGGGAGAGAGGGAGTCTGTCTGCAAAGTGCTGCTCCCTGGTGCTCAGAGGCGGCTGCTCCAGCTCCAACTCTCATTCATTTCGCCGGTTAACATGAGAGATCATGGCCGCCTTCGGGCTTCTCAGCTATGAGCAGAGACCGCTGAAGCGCCCCCGGCTCGGGCCGCCCGACGTCTACCCACAGGACCCCAAGCAGAAGGAGGTAAGGGCGCCGGCGGCCTCCCCAGCAGCCGGGGCCACGCTCTGCAGCGCTGACCCGAGGCCAAGTTGGCCCAGCAGGCATCGCAGGCGCTGCGGGGGAAGGGTCGGGGAGGGGATTGGAGGCGGGGGCCGGGCTGGGGGCCTGGGGGACCCCCCGGCGGCGGAGACCGAGCGGCTGTCAGTCCCAGCGCTCCGGTGGGGCGCTCGCTCTCCCAGTGCCGGGTCGCTTTCGCGTTACCGGGCCTTGCACGGCGCCGCCGGGCGCTTCATGGGCTTCTTCCCTGCTGAAATCCTCCTGCTTGCTCTCCCCCGCTTCTGCCTGCTTTATTTTTCTCCTTGCCGCTTCGGTAAATCCTCGTAAACTTTTTGAAAAATGTTGGAATGCCGTGCATCCGACACTGAGGTCTTGCGTTTTGCGCCAGCTGGCCAGGGACCGAGGTGGGGGTGCTTTTCTCTTCAAATTTTCCAGTTTGGGATCGAAGTCGTCTTATCAAGGTGATAAATATTTAGCTCTCTGAATATACCCCTGTATCTCCTCTTCCCTTTAAAAATCAATATTAAAGAGAAACACTGATTTTCGTCCCTAGAGGCAATTGGCTTAATTGCTGGAGGCTGTTTTGTATATGCAAAAGCGGGCAAGTTGTCTTGGGAGGGAATAGGTCCCGAGATTGCCTATTCTTTGAATGAAATTAATTGGATAAACCTTGACTCTTGCACCAGGTACACTAGCTTCAATGGCTAAGGTAACCATGGCATTTTGTAGCTGTGTATGTGTTTGTCAGGAGTTAACAAGTAATTATGTAACAACTCTTCAGTTATAATGATCACCCTTGGCTACACAATTTGCCCAGGGACTTGCTTTTTGTTTTTTTTTTTTTAAGATCACCTGCTACCCAGCTGTGCTTTCTGAGTTTGCCAGCTGCAGCCCACCCATTTTCTGTTTTCTTCAGCTAAACACTAGTTGACCACATTTCAGAACTTATCTTTCTGGGAATCTAAAAACCCTCTATTAAAAGTTTATAGGCCTACTGATAGCACAAAAAGAGCTTTGTTAAGGCAAGGAGAGGTCCTTAAGACTTTCGTTTTGATAAATGTGTCTGTTTCATTAATAGAGTAAGGATGCTTGTTCTGACTAAACTGTTTTGCTAATAAAGTGTCTGAGGAATAGAGAGCAGCAACTGCTTTTAGAGATTTACCACACTAAATATGTTTGAGCATCAGTGGAGTAATTGACTGAAGCTGGGAAGGTTTTACAGGTGGTTCCCAGCAGAGACTTGTAGAAAGGTAGGAGTTTGGGATTTTGCAGGTTCTTCCCCACTCATTTCCTCACCCTGTTACCCCAACTCAGAATGTAGTCAACTGTTAAGGACTGGAAATAATAGAGATGCTAAGGATCAAGTGTAAAGAAAGTTAATAACTTAAAAATTACTGCTAGGAAATTCTTAAAAGTTTTGGTAGGACAGGGACATTCACCAAGGGACATGATCTTTATCATCTTGTAATTAATGTCTTGCCACAGCTCTTCAGAAGGCAGCATAATTGACACTCCTCAGTTATGGGATGGTAGCTTGGGTGTCACTTGGGCTTATTTAGTACTTATTCCCCATGTCAGTACACATTTCAGAATTGGAGCCTCTGTGAGTCTGGAAAGAATAATTTTGGATTTCAGGGTCTTCACAACATTTTATAGATTTCTAAAACAGGAAATGACCTTAGAGGCACTTTTTTCTAACTTCCTTTTCACAAAGTGAAACTGAGGCCCAGGAAAGCGTAACTGATGTGACCCTGGTATAGGGTGGATAAGCAGAGGAGTTGGACCACCAAACCAGTATTTATGTCAAAACCAGTACAGTGTTGAGGATGATTTATGACAAATTATGTCGTTCTGATGTTACTCCCTTTTCCCCAAGGCAGCCAGTGTTTTATCTCTCTTGAGCAGAGAGTCAGTTATGTGCGGCTGTGGCCAAATTTGGGTACAATATGGAACAGGTGCTTGGCTGTTCTTGGGTGGTTGGTGAACAGAGTTTCCTAGGCTTTAGTTATTTATGTACTACCTCCCTCAAGATTTCTACCCTATCCCGCTACCACTTATGTAGTCTAATGCTTTCTTTAAACTAACTTTAAGAAAGTTTTTGTTTCCTAGGCAGTAGTAATACACGTGAAGTTGTGGATTTATTGCAATGTATATGTGTATATATAAATTTTTTATTTTAACTGATGTATACATATTATTTTTATCTATTTGATATACATGCACACATATATATGTTTATACATATGAAAATAAGACCATAACTATTAACACTTTAAAAAGTTCATCTGTGAATCTTAAATTATTCTTGCATTCTATTAGAGGTATGTGCCCCACATAGTGGGAAATGCAGATTTAATGGAGGAAGTGTGGGTAGACCTGGATTTGGATTCTGGTTTTGGATCTTTGTGTGGCCTCCGGCAAGTTGCATAGCTTCTCATTTGTAAATTAGTTTGATTGTGTACTTCAGAAAAAATATGCAAACCAACATTTGTGAGAGAAAAGCCCTGCTCCTAGTAAAAGTTATTCTTATCACTGTTGATGTAATTTGTATTGTTAACCAATGGTAATAGAGTTCTGGAAAATGACTCCCAGCAAATAGGGTGGAACTCTAGAATGAAGACCCCCCATAGAGAAGTAGGGGAGGGAAGGAGAGCGGGAAGCTTTAACTGCTTGATGGATTGATTATATTTATTTGAGAGCTTGCTGAACATCAGCATCTCAGAGGACTTTATTATAATACTTTGCCCTCTGGAAACAGACTGTTCTCAAGCCTTTAAAACACAAAATCAGAAAACTGGCAGTCATCCTTGATTCCTCTTCCTCCCATCCATCCTTACGTCCATGAGTGCATCTTGTTTGATCCAATTCCAAAATGTATTTCCAATCCATCCTTTGCTCCCCAGTTTCGCCAATGTGCTAGGCTTCCTTTTGGACTTCAGGCTGACTTTTCTCTGCCCCAGGGCTCTTGCATATCCTCATCTGTCTACCTGAACACCCATTTTCCTACTTACTTGTCTGCTGCAGCCTCTGCACTCTACTTGTTCTTGTCTCCTTAGCCTGTGGTTAGGAAGGTAGGCACTGAAGCCAGTCTGCGTGGGTTGGAATCTAGGCTCTCCTGTTTACATATTCCTTATTCTCCCCATGCCTTGGTTTCCTTCCTTATAGAGTGGGGACTATAGTACTACTTACCCTATAGGGCTGTTGGAAGATTACATGGATAATGCATGTAAAGCACTTAGAATAGAATCTGCCATAGATTCAGCCCCCAAATACTTGCTGTTGTGAACTGTTGTCAGGCCTGTCTCTTCATCTTTCAGGTCTCAGTCCAACAACCTCCTCAGGCCTTTCTGGTTTATCAGGGATGAGATCTGTTTTAGGCATGGCTGAAGTACCTGGCACCTAGTGCAGTTAGTTTCTAGAATATCGAGGGCAAAATATTTTTTGGAATGTATGAATAAAAATGGGATGAGTGAATAAAAGGGAAATTTGGTGACTGTGGGGAGGTGGGAAAAGTCTAGCTTAAAGCTGAAAGTATCCTTTGCATTTGCCTTGGAGGCTTTGAGGCTGGAAGTGAAATTAAACCCAGAAGTAGTAAGGAAGAGGAGTTTTACTATGGATTAAAAGAGGCTAAAACGATTGAATAGTAAGTATATTCAGGAAGTCCAACTAGTTGAAAAAATGGATTGGGGCAGTAGTGAGATTTCTAGGCATCAGGAGCTGTAGAGCCCCACCAGCAGGCTCTGAGGGAAGAATGGCCTCGTGTGCAGTGCAGGGGCTGCCCAAGGACAAGTACAGCATGACCTGGAGAGTTGCTGGTGATGGTGGTGTCTGTATGTTGCTAACCCAAAGTAGTGGCTTTCCAACTTCAGAGCACAATTGGATCACCGGGAGGGCTTGCTAAAAATAAATCATTGGGTCTCAGATTCAGTGGGTTGAGGTGGGGCCCCAGAATTTGCATTCCTGGCAAAATCCCAGGTGACCTGATGCTGTTGGTCCTGGGTCCCACTTGAAAATCCCTGAGCTAGGTAGAAGGCGGCATCCTATTCTGCAGGGCCTAGAGAATCCTGCTTGACACAGGTGGGGCTGGATTAGCCTTCTCTATATGGCTGAAATTGCAGTAGTTTGGTTTAATAGCCAACCTAGCCATGATTTGGTGCACTTTTCCCAGAAGTTGTGCCCTTTCTTAGCTCCAAACTAAAGAAATGGGTCAGGAAGTCTCAGTTGCCCTCAAGTGCCTTTTCATTACTCTTGGAATAAAATCCACTCTTTCTTTCCCATAGCCTTCGGGGCTATCAGTCTGGCCCTTGCTCACCTCTCCAGTCATGGCCTGCAGCCAGATAGCCTGGCTTTTGAGTTCTGGCTCTCCCACTTCCTGCCTGTTTGACTCAGTTTCTTCACCCGTGGAATGAGTTTCATATTTGTTCCAACTTCGTGGGGTTGCTGGGAACTGAAAATGAGCTAATGTATGCAAAATGCATGGAATTGTGTTTGTCACACAGTTGGAACTCAGTGCAGGCCAGCTACTGTTAGCTGATCCCTTGTTAAAGAATTTTGAGGCCTCCTCTTGTACTTTTTTTTTTGAGACAGAGTCTCACTCTGTTGCCTGGTAGAGTGCCCTTGTGTCAGCCTGGCTCACAGCAGCCTCAAACTTTTGGGCTCAAGCAATCATCCTGCCTCAGCCTCCTGAGTAGCTGGGACTACAGGTGTGCACCACCATGCCCAGCTAATTTATGTGTGTGTGTGTGTGTGTGTGTGTATTTGTTGTTGTCCAGCTAATTTCTTTATATATATATATGTTTTATTTATTTTATTTTTTTAGTAGAAACAGGGTGGTCTTGCTCAGGCTGGTCTCGAACTCCTGAGGTCAAATGATCTGCCCACCTCTGCCTCCCATACTGCTAGCATTATAGGCGTGGGCCACCATGCTAGGCTCCCCTTGTATGCTTATAATAACATCCACAAGACCC